CAGGGCGTCTTTACTGTATACTGGGTCGTTGCTTGTTTCTGAGGCATGCTCTACGAATGAAACCAGATCAGAGAAGGTTGGACTTCTTTGGTGGTGCTGTCTGATATTGAGTACTCTTTCTCTCCACTTACTCTGAAGGTAGCCTGGTAGTTTCTGAACGACGGCTTGCATTTGTGGAGTATGGTTCAATATGTCCATGTATGAAATGTTCTTCATCGCATTTTTACACTTAGTAAGAAACAGTGAAAGTCGTTTAAGGGAGGGGGCATCATCGTGTTTAACAGGGGGCCATCTTTGGAGTTGTGTGGTGTAGKCTACGGAGACCTTGTAGGGATCCCCGTACTCTTTATCTAGAAGTTTCSTCGCTTCTGYATAGCCTTCTTCCGCCGGCAGATGTAAGCATCCCTCGATTAGGTCTTTGGGWTCATCGCTGAGGTGTTGATGGATATAGTAGAGTAGATCGGCGTCGCTCGAAGTCTTCGATTGGATGCGGGCATCGAACGCCATGATGAACGGTTTGTATTCTAGTATATTTCCTCTGAACACAGGTACTTTCGGCTGTGGAAGTCTCATGGCGGCTGTCATTTCTTTGTGTTGCTGTATTTGTGTATTTAGCAGGCAGGCAAAGGAACTTTCAWCTATGCGCGTCATTGTCTGGACTGGAGTTGAACACAGGTTGAAAGGCCCTTCGGGAGTTGCCTCCTTGACGATCCTTTGTGGGTTGGCAGGTGTTTCGCTGAACTTCACGGGACTCTCACAAGACCCTTTCTTCGCTGGGGTGCTGTGTGATGCATTGGTATAGCCTTTAACAGTTGTGGTTGTGCTTGAAATTTCGTTATGCTCAGGATTTGCAGAGTTAGTTTTGAAGGGGGCAACATGACTTGCAGCGATGCCGTCAGTTTCGACTCTGGGTTGGGTGACTCTGACTTTAGATGGGCCATCATTGTGGTGGCTGGTCCGTTGTCCGGTCGCGCTGGCGATTGCGTCGTCTTCCGTTGTTCTGCCGTTCTTAATATTGACACCGAGCTCTGGTGTAGAGAATCTTTGAGGTTGGAAATTATCTTCTGTTGCGCTCACGTTATGTACCGTTATGCCTTCCGTTGTACAAGCGATGGCGTTGTCTTGTGTTGCAAGAGTGTCTTGTATGCTGACCTTGTCTTCCGTTGTACTAGTGGTTTGGACGTTGACGTTATATTGNACCCCTGTGGATATAGTGAAAATTGATAGCAAATATCAATTTCATTTGGGTTGGGGTACATTTCATCTAGAAATATTTTCTAAATCAAATTTCTTGTTGCATCTATTTCAATATTTCATTCATTTTTTTGTTTTGTTTTTGCTTTTTTTGAGGTGGCATTGGTGTAGAGGATATCATGTTGCATTTAGAATTAAAAGCTTATGGAGAATATAAAGCTAAGTGCAATTCAGTTGACTAGGTTTTTTTCACAATATTTTACCTGATAGTGCATCCACAAGTTTTTTTTTGTCATAGATGAAATAAAGATTTTCATAGAAATGTGAGATGGTATCGTAATGATGGGCAAAATCCGTTATCTATGAAGCCATTTGCAAAATAGCTTTGTTGTTGATTGGCTGTTATACTATGTTACTTATTTCTTCAATTTCCCACTGGCTGTCGATTGCATCGACCTTTTGGGTGCCCTTTAAAGTGGTTTTTCACATTTTTTGCACTGTGGTGGCCTGCGTTTGGAGGGTTTATGGGTTTGTTTCTTCAAGAAGGCTTGATATTCAGCATCTAAGAAAATGAGGAGCAAAGTAAAAAAAAAAAAAAAACCGGCAGGCTATATGATTGTATTACAGATATAGTGTTGCTAATAAAGGAATTTACAATTTAGTAATCAATGCGTTAAGTGATTGCAAATTTAGCATTACCTGAACATGTTGGAGGACAAAGTTTTGTTTCCTTGCCCTTTCTCTTTCTGTATTTTTCTTTCGCATCTTCCTTGGATTCTACCTCAGTGAATTTGCTGTGGGACATGGCGGTGGGACATTTTGTGCCATCTCCTTTTCTATGTCTTTCATTTCAGTTCTTGATGTTGTTAGCATGGTTTCATATATCTTGGGGATATAATCTGGTATAGAGTATACATGTAGCAAAGTTATTCCTGACCACACAAAAATAATAATAATAAAAAAATTAATATTAACATAAAAAAATAAAAGAATAACTGCTGATTAAAATATATAATACAAAAATATATATTAAAATATATATAAAATTTAACATTGCCATAATTTATAGGTGTTTTATATTCTCTAACTGTTGCTTCACCATTTTTATATTTTTGGTATGTGACAGTAACTTTAGGCTGTCCATTGCTTTGAAGTTTTGCTTCTCGATTGACATTGTGGTTGAAATGAAGTGCTGCAAGTATGTTTCTGATAAAATATGAGAAAAGCAAAAGTTTTAATCAAACAAATTGTAAATCCTTTTTTAGTA